GAGGACCTTGATAGAAATGTAGTGGAGTGAAATATACAATATTTGTCTTTCAAATGTAGTGAAGTTAAAGTCATAAGTTTCCAGAAAAAATAATACTCAAGTGAAGTACAGATACTCAAAAAGTGTACTTAAGTACAATACTCAAGTAAATGTACTTAGTTACTGTCCGCCTCTGCTTACGGGTTTAGAACGACATGAGGGTGAGTAATTAATGACAGAATTTTCATTTTTGGGTGAACTCTTTAAAATAGTTGTGAGAAGTTTTGAGTCATTCATCTGCAGTACTCTAGCACCATCTGTTGGTTGACTACATGATGACATGACTTTATATTCAAAATGGAACTCAAAATACATGCTTTATTAATGTTTTTCATCAATAAATGCATTGACTTAAATGCATTATATTAATTAGAGTAGATAATATTAACAAACAATAATCTTTGCATTAGTGTACTTGCTGCTGTGATAAGGCTGTTGTGTATTTGTGAATCTTGTAATTGTTTGTAATTGAATAATATGCCTGCTGTACCCTTTCTACTGCTATATTTGATATTCTCTTTAGGAATTAGGAATTATTGATGTTTGCTAACACCAGCTAGGCGTACTATTACTTTTCTAAGCGATTAGACTTTTTAGTGTGGTGACTGTGAGTGGGAAGCGCCCCTCACATTTTCTTTGGAGCATCTAGTTATTGACCTGTGACCTGTCTGTCATACACTCCAGGACTCCTGCTGTTCTTCAGAGGGTTTGTGAACTACCTGAAAGTGCGTAACATGTCCGAAAGCATGGTGTCTTCACTCCGAACCCGCTTCTTCCTCCTGTACTAGAGGTGAGGATGTCATCACACACACTGTATACACATACATATATACAAATAATAAATATGTATAAATAATGTGTGTGTGTGTCAAGAATAGAGGTGTAATTATTTACTCATGTCCCATAAGATAATAAGAAATATGAAGATCATTATACTCTATTATTAAAGGCAAATAGCAAAAATAACAACTTTTTCCATATATCTCATAATCTCAATATGTGTGTTTGCTCTCAATTACTTAAAAAAGGGTAATTTATATTTATTTATTTTAGCCTGTTTTTGTGAAAAATGCTTTTACTGAGGCTGAATAATGGATTAGCATATTTGCTTGGCTTGATTTTGTTTGATGACATTGTAATTGATTTTCTGAGATTTTATTATATTCATTATAATCGATTATTAAAAGTGCATTGCAATTTTTGCAAACTATGTAGTAAAAAAAAATTAAAATTCCCATCTTCCATTGTTCTGTCAACACAGAAGGCTTGAGTTTATCTTTCTGCTGTTACAGTAGTATCTGAGTTTTTTTTTCTCTCTCTCTGAGGGGTTAGTAGCTAACATGTGCTTTAAACTAGCACAAGCTCTCTGCCATAGCGCCACTACACATTCCTGAAGAGTTTACAGGGTTAATGCATGGGTAAGTAGACCCTGAATGAGTTTTCTCACACATCTACCCTCAAACAAAGCTGTTTTTTACATCGTTGCTCAAAGATGAAGGTAGAGCCGCAGGAGGTCCCGGTGTACCACAGTCACCAGCAAAGGAGAAAACAACAGATGCCACAGCTGATAGTTCACAGCAACACTTTTTAAGTGCCGACTGCATTTAAGGAGTCGTCTCATCTCAGTGTTTCACAAGCACACCAAATAACACATGCAGAAAAATGTAGCTGCTAATACAGCGATGCCTTCACAAGGGAGAATCAGCAGACATGTGTTCTCCATCTTCCTCTTTCATATGACCCTGTCTTCATGGAGTGGGAAGAGCAGGGAAACAAAGGCTGATTTGTTCTGTAGCTCTAAACAAGGATGAACGTCTTTTTTTTTTTTTTGATGTAGGGGTGTGCGATATATATCGTCTGCGATAATATCGTAATTGTTGTTTTAACGATTTGCTATTTGACATTATCGAGTATTTTGCAATAACCATTCAAAACACCCCTACAAGAGCGCACGTATACATTACGTGAAGTCTAGACTAGTGCGCGTGTGCATTTAGAGTGCGTTCTTTCACTGCATGATTCAGTCTATTAAAATGCATTTAGAATGATCACAAATTCAAGACATGATGGCAGAACGTGTATATTTATACCATTTCATATAGTTAATAATCAATTTCACACGAAGAGTGCCGTTTTTCTCCAAATATTACCATGTGATATTGTTTTTTTAATGTCTTATTATTCTAATTCACTGATTAAATGTAAGAATTTCACTCAAAAGATTATGGACACTTTTAGAAAAAATAGCTTTATAAAGGTAAAAATGCCCGTAAAATGTAAAATTAAGTTTAAACTTATTGGAAAAAAATATCAAGATATTATTTTTTGTCAATATCGCACACCCCTAAGTGAGCCTAATTACTGTGGCTGTCATGTTATTTGTTGAATGTTGCTTTGAGAAGGAACACTTCCTCTTTGGTCAGGCATTACCTAATATGCATAATAACCAAGCAGGAAAATAGAATGCAAAACATGTGCATTTAAATCACTCTGGGAAATGACATTTGGCTAGGACTAGATTATGTTACTAAAACGTTATCTTTTGATATTTGAGATAACATATGTTATCACAGTGTGTATGTATATGTGTGCAAGCCTCTCTCTTTCATATAGCCTGTTTTTGTGAAAAGTGCCTTTAGAGAGGCTGATCTATTCATTAACATATTTGCTTGCCTTGATTTTGTTTGACACAAAAATGGATTATGTGTTTGGTAAGTGCCAGGCAAATGCAAAAAGTAACAGAAAGATTTAGCTTAAATTAAACTAGTAGTGCAATGTATTGTTGAACCTATATTTCTCATAAATTAGACAAAAATATATTTTTTTCATTTTTAAAAAATAACTTTGACAGCAGGATTGAATGTTTGAGCTTGATATATGCAGTCAAACCTTCAATTTGTGTAAAATTTGATTACAGAGTTGCAATTTTATGATTTTGTGCAGGAACAGAGTTCCATACAAAATGTGGGACATAGATAAATATAATGTTTTTGGTCATTAAAATGAGTTAACTAAAAATATTTCTTAGTACAATCAATTGAATAAAAATGCAACATATTATGTCAAAATAATAGCATCGTTGTACAGTTTTAATTTTTAGATACAGTCAAGAATTTAAAAAAGCTAGAAAACTAGTTAGTTCTCATGCTAAGTTAGTAGTTCATCTGACTAATAGGTCTCACAAATATAAAATGAGATTTGTGTCTTAAAAAAAAGTCAATTCACTTTTTTTTTTACCCTATTGTGGAAGAGCCTTTTATTAAAGTAACACATTGAAGCATGTTAAACATTTTTTGCTTGGCTTGAATTTGTTCCAAAACAACACAAGAACTGATTATGCTTTTGTTAACTTGGACATGCAAGGCGGATGTAATTTGCTTCATTGATAATGGCTCTCATAACCTTGCTTATATGCAGTTTGCACAATGAAGGCCATGGTGGCAAACCTCCAAAAAACAAGCTTCTCTCTCATTCACTCTGTCCCTCTCAAGGTCGTCTCGCCAAAACATTCCTCCCTAATGTGAAATTCCTTGATGATTTGCAACCCGTCAAATGAACTGGACTGGATCCCACTGAGGGGAAGAGGAAGACGAGAAAAAAGAAAACTAATATCTCTGCCAAATGTTCTGAACTGAACTCAGTAAAAGCGGAAGGTTTTTCTGCACTCCGAACGAGTGCAAATCAGCTCTTGATATCATAACTTCCCAGTTAGCCTCAGCACATACATTTATGGTTTATTACTAGATTTTGACAAGACAAAAAAAAAAATCCCTTAATGGTTAATCTTTCCACACACTGCATGCAGAGTAATGGATTTGTATACTTGGGTTGGAAAAACTGCAAAAGATCACTAGAAATATGCAGCCAAGACATCCTATGCAATGTCTTTAGTTTAATTCTCTTTGCTTTGTTGCATCCAAGGCCTTGGCAAGTTTGATTGCATTGCAGTATTAATATACCAAGTTTAGATTAATATACAAGTTTAGTAGCTTTAGCTAACCGGTCAAGCTAATGGCGATGTAAAGTACAATTGCACAGTTTCTCTTCTTCTTAAGTTGTGTCTCGCTTAACTTTATAGTAAATGATTAAGTAACTTCATTGATGTGTTTCAAACTGGAAATGGAATTTGTACTTATCCTAAAATATATATTTGCCTTTCGCACCTTCAGTTTTCCCCCATTTTTTTATGGTTCTTGGTTGTTTTAAGTTGTGACTTTGCTCAAGCTGTGACCTGCCTAGATGACTTTAGTTACTTGAATGCCTGAATGCTACTGTCATTTGTTTCTATTCATCACAAGCATCTTCAGCAATATCGGATATTAAAAGAAATGCATGGTTAACTCAGTTACAGCAGTTTAAATGACTAATCCAGTAAACAACAACAACAAAAAAAAAAAAAAGAATTTTGTTAGAATAATTGATATTTTGGATATTCTCTGATTGGCAGAGATGATTGTGTGCTATGTTTATTCTCTTGTCTTGCATAATGCCAATAAAATTTGAAATCCCAGGTACATTTCTATGGGCCTGTTGTTTAAAAATAGACTCTTTTTTTTAAAATTTCGTTTTAATTTCTAATTTTAATTTCGTTCCTAGCCTAAACAGTTTTTGCACGTGTTATTTCATGCAATGCAATGCATGCAATTATTTAATGTTATTCAAAAATAAATAAATAAAAACAAACAAATAAATAAATAAAATTTTAAAAATCTTCAAAACGCACTTGCTACAGCTCTTTAGTTATTGTTTAATGCTGGTCAATATATTAACAAACCATGGCAGTAATAGCTATTAATGATAGGTTTGAAAAAGAACTGAAATGTCAGAAATTGGGATGCACTGAGATGCTTCAACCTTCACATCCCGATCAAAAAGCTTAGTAGCCATCAATTTTTTTCCCCCTCGTTGAGAATTCCATTTCCAAAATATTATGTTGTGGAAGTGATATGGTTTGCGAATGCCATTTCATTTGGACTGTATACTCACTACATGTGATTTATTTGAGCTTTTATAATGCCACTGTAATTCTGAGTATTTAATTGATTAGTTGTTTGGAAATCATACCAGTTGTTACACTCGAGAAATATTTGTTAAAATGATAGTGCTGTATCCTTCTGAAATGCAGCATTTACAGAGAAGATAAGTAAAGAGTCATTTTAATATTTGCTCTTAATTAGTATCGTAGTGTATATTAAAGTATCACCATCTGATACAATCATTGTACCACAGTACAGATTTTCTCAAAAGGCTTTTCCTTCATCACCACTGAGTGGCACTTTTTTCCTCCTACCCGTTACCCACACACACACACACACACACACACACACACACACAGATAGACAAATTCTTAATAAACCTTTAATGAGTGACCCATTTACATAACGCCTTTCCGGTCTGCACATGGTTCTGCTGTTGTGGACTGCATTTTTCCGGTCCTTTCTCCTGGATGGATAGCTCACTGCTCACAAACATTCATAAATACATACACATACCATGGAACTGAAAGATTACTATATTCATGTACCATTAGTATATTTAAAAGCAGAGTCAGAAATTAAAAGGAACTCAGGGCAAAACTGCACCATAAGGGCCATTTAAAAAAAAAAAAAAAATTATTTAAATATTATTATTTTTTTAAATGTATATTTAGTAATCAATTTGATTATTTATTTGTAATAAATAGCTTGTTGTTCGTTAATTAAAATATGGTAAATATTACATGTTGCAGAAAATTAGTTGTTGTTGAATGTATATGTAACGACCTACACTTAAAAAAAGTTGTAAATAACACAAAGATTATTGGAGTACATTT